AACCTACAGCGATCCCAGCACTTGTCACGCTGTACAGTCACTGGCTTTATGGCTGTCTCGCGCACCAGCCTGTGAACTCCCTCAGGGAATGAGCTGTTCTGTACCCAAGACCCAAGATGCTAACCGTCAGAGCCAAATGAAGGACATCACAAGCGCTGGGGTGAGCACTAGGTGTTTATGGCATATTTTCCAAGTCATTTTGGGATCTTCTAAGCCCCACAGCCGTCTGCAAATTGCTAGGTTCCTTAGACTGTAATGTGGATTAAAGCTGATCCGCCTGATCCAGGACAGGCAGCTCCAACACAGGCAGCTCGGGTTTCCAAAAGCACCCAATGGTCTTTTAACCTAAACAATGAGCCCGGGCAGTTCCCAGATACTTCAAAGGACTCTAAGGACCTTTACCATTCCCTGGCTGGCTGGTGGGTAAAAATGTCCCATCGGGCAGAGAGACTCAACCAAGTTGAAAGTCTTCCCAAACTGACTTAGGAGGCAGTTTCTCTCAGAAAGACAGTGCAGTGGGTACGAGCACTGAAGTCAGACCCTGGCTTGGCCCGTTTCAGTTGTTGTCACCTTGTGGCAAGTGACTTAACCTCTTTGAACCTTAGTTTCCACTCCTATAAAATGGAAAACAATAACAGTTCCCATAACTCATAGACTTGTGAGGACTAAAGGAAATAACACACAGGAAGTCCTCAGTAAGTACCTGGCACCAAAAAAATGCATTCAATAATGATTAAAGTACTTTACAAGTGCTGGAGGCAGGCAGAGACAGGTGAAAGCCTGCAGGTGCCTGGACGTTAGCAGGAGGCCCAGCCTCCTTTAAACAACCATCCTCCCCTTCTCAGCCACATCCACCCACTCTCTAAATTCCTGAAATCCTTCTGCCTCTCCCTTTCCAGTCTGGCTGCCCTCCCATTTAAGATTCCTGACCTCCCGAAACACCCCATCCTGTCCTCTGCCTTCTCCTCCCTGTGTCCTCTTTCATCACCCCTCCAATACCATTCCTTACTACATACTGATCCCTCCTATACCCCTCCAACTCTTTGAGACCCACAGACATTTATGAAGCTCCTGCTCCGTGCTAGAAAAGACATAGCTGAGAGGCACAACACCATGACCCCTTGCCAAATGAGAAACCCCATCTAATTTCCCTCCCACCAATCCTTTCCCTGGGCCCCAGTCTTCCTTCTACTGCTCCTGCTCAACATGCCCATCCTTTTTCCTTCCCATTAGTAATCTTGGGAGCTCCCTTTGGAAACCAGACTATTTCTTACCACCAAAGGAATGCCTGCTCCCCATCCGACTACCCCCCCAACACACACACTAGATTTTCCTCCCTTCAGTCATTTCCTCCACAAAAGTCTCTTTTCCACCACCCCCCCACCCAAAAATCCTAGGTTTGTCAGCATGCTCTGCATCTGTTCCCAATTCACTCACTTTTTTCCCCACTCTTTCGGTACCCACTGAGCTCCTACTGTGCGCAGGCCCAGCGCTAGATGCTGGAAATGCAGCTGTGAGTGGAAAAAGCAGTTTCTGCTCTCCTGGAAGTACCAGTTTAGAAGCACACAGAAAAGGAGTGAAAACAAACAGGCTAAATGCAGATAGTGGAGATATGCATTGAATGAAATCCAGAAAAAGATCAGGCGGAAAGGAATTGAAGTGGGGAAGCACTTTAGGTATGGTGGTCAGGAAAGGCCTTACCTAGCTGATAAACACTGCTTCCACCATTAGCCACCTACTGTGTTAAGAGACCTGGATCTATCTCTTTCCATGCATGACATTATTGAGTTTTTGCACTGTGTACATCAACCCCATTTGCAGATGGGGAAACAGAGGCTCAAGGGGTAATTTGTCCAAGGTCACACAGCCATGAAGCGGTAGAACAAGGATCTGAATGCAGGTCTGACTGCAAGGCCATTCTGTGCACTCCCGCTTCCCAGGACCACGTTGGCCACCTGCCCTCCCCCAAAACTCTATTTCTGATAGCCCCCTCCTTAAACTCTCCCAGGGAAAAAAAATTTTTTTAAACGACTGCCCTTTATTGAGCACTAGCACATGCTTCCAGTTTTATGTGCATTCCCTTACCCAACCCTCAAAACAATCATGGGGAGTAGATGCTGTCACTATATCCACTTTACAACTGAGGAAACTGAGGTCTAAATTCACACACCTAGATTCGAACCCCGACCTGACCTCTGACCCCAAAGCTGCCCAGCCAAAGAAGTACCACCCCCGGAAGCTTGGTGCCCACCGTTGCCCTGGCAACAACGAAGTGTGCATCCGTAAGCTGAAATCTATCCCTTTACTTTACAAATGGGAACACTGAGACTCTGAGAAGCTAAGCCACTTGCCCAAGGTCACACAGCGAGGAGCGACGGTGTCAGGGTTCGAACCCAGGCACCCTGACTCCAGAGCCCTCGCTCTTAATCATCGTACTGCCTCTCCCGGACGTCTCTCTCCGCCCTCCACCTCGCTCTGACACCTCGCAGAGCCCACGGCCCGGAGCTATTCGCCCCCATCCCCAAGTCCAGCCCCGCGGCCTGCCCCCCTCAGCCCCCAACACACTCACTTCAGGTGGTCCAAGGAGTGGATGTTGCGGGAAGACTTGCCATGGCCCCCGCCCACCCAGCTCCGCGAGCGGCCAAACATGTCGGCGGCCCCGACCTGTTGCCCGCCTCACGGTCTCATGCCCGAGCGGCCGAGCGGCCGGGCGCCCGCAGTGGCAGCACAAGCGGAGGAGGCAGCGGCGGAGGTGGTAGAGGTACCGCCAACCACCTTCCTCCCCGGCCCACAGCTCCGCACTGACATTCAGCCGGAACCGGCCGTTCGACCGCCGCGCTTTACGGCCGCCGCCACGAGGAACGCTGGGAAGTGCAGTTCGCCCGCGAGGCCCCCGCCGACGGGACTCGGCAAACGAACTACAAGACCCGGCGTGCATTGCGCAACTGCGGGCCTGCGGCCTCGGTGAAGAGGCGGAGCGAGAGGAGGAGGGGAGCCCGCAGTATCCCGGACGGTGGGCGGGAATGGGAAACCTATGCGGGCACCCCTGGGAAGGGAATCGGTGAGGCTGGGTGCTTCAAAGTAACCGCAGTGTTCACAATCTTTAGGTTGTATGACAAGAATCAGAATAGCTATTGCATGGCTTTTACTATGTGCCACCGTCCTGAGCGCTTTACATAGACTGATATTTAAGGCTAACAACCAGCCTATGAGGTGGGTACTATCATCCTCACGCTACCCACGGGGAAACTGAATCACAGAGGAGCTGACTTACGGAAGGTCATGCAGCTAGTAAGTGCGTGGTTCAGACCCTGGCACCATCCTTTTATGCCCCCGTAAACTAATCTGTACCAAATCGGTAATGGTCTTGACGGTCTTTACAGCTTTTCTTTTTCCACTTCAACTTAAAAAATAGATTTTGAAAGGTCTTCGGGCAACAGTGTACCGAAACTGAACATCCTGTGATTTCAGAGGATTTCTCTAGTCTTCACCCAAAATCCAAGCAATTCCCAAAACTACCACATTGAGAAGAAGAATTAGAATTAGAAGAAATGAAACACCCAACTCCCCACATGAGCCAGGAAGATGTATCTACATGTCTGTCCTGCAGGAGGAGTGAGAAGCTCCCTGGAGGCAAGACTGCCCTGTTCACCATTCATTCGTTCCTTTCTGCACCGCAGAGTTATCTAAGGACTACTGTGTCTCATTAGCTGTGCTCAGAGTTGGGCTAAGTTCCCATGTTTTCCCCACTGCCTAGCACAAAGTTTGGCACATCGTGTGTGAGTGACTGACAGAATGAAGGTTTGTTTCGCCTTAGGCAGTTGGAGAATTAATGGTTTGCTCTAATTGATCTAAAGGGGCAAGCAGACAGTAATGGAGAAAAAAGGGCAGGTCTGATCTCCAAACACACACAGACCTAGCCTCTGCCTTCCGGGGCCCTCCCTTTTCTCTGGGGCCAGATTTCCTCATCTGTAAAAAGGCCTAGCACGCTACACAGCCACGTCTAGCTGCAATTAAGCGATGTGTGTAAAACACCCGGCTCAGTGTGACCTGAGATGTAAAGGTCTGTCCTGGCGCCTGGCTGGCTCAGTCAGCAGAGCATGCAACACTTGATGTTGGAGTTGTGAGTTTAAGCCCTGCTTTGGGTGCAGAGATTACTCAAAAAATCAAATCCTTGAAAAATAAGGAAGGTCTGTGGAACTGCTCTGGAAGGCGCTTCGGGCAAGATCAGTCTCCTGAAGGATATACAGAAGTTGCTCATGAAAAGGGGAATCAGCGAGTGCGAGACTCATTTTTCTATGTAATTCTTGGCTGTTTCAATGTTTAACCACGTCCTCTTTCAAACATGGTTTACAAAGCAAAAACAGGAAGCAACCCCACTGCCGCAGGTCTGACTTGCCTGGGAATCTCTTTATTCGGGTGTCCCTGAACCCTGTTATGCACCTCCTCGCGATGCACCTGTTAAGGACCTTCTGGCAGCCAGAATTTGGAGAGCCGAAGGAGGCACTGATTAATCTTTCCCACCATGGAAAATTGCCACTTTGGAAAGTCCTAGGTTTTCACCGGTAAATTCACCGCTCCCCTACCCCGCCTCCTTTTGACAGGTAAACTGAGTTCCAAAGAGGCGTGACGCCATGTCCAAGTTCAGGGAAGGCTGCTGAGGAGGCTTGGGGCGGGATGCGGGGGGGGGGTTCCCTTCTGCTACCTTAACCTTCAGGATCTGTCTAGTTTTGAACTGTGTTCTGTGTGGTTCCCCTCCCGCTACTCCATGGGGCATGCGCAGAGCCAATTGGATTTGAGACCTGGGCGGAGCCCGGAACCGGGGAAGCAGCTCAGAGGCCAGCGCCCCCGAGGGGCGGAACGAAGCGGTACCGCCCCCGGACGGCTCGGGCCAATGAGCGCGGGAGTCTTGTCGGCCAATGAGCGCGGGCAAGGGGCGGCGGGCCAATGAACGCGGGGCGGCTCCGGAGGCGGTGCTCGGAACGCGACCAGGAGGGCGACGCGGCGGCCGCAGCCATGGGCGCTGGGCCTGCGGGGGCGCGGAGGGGGCTCGAGGAACTGCCGGGCGGGGCTGGGGAGACCGCCGCCGGGACTGGCCCTCGACGCTGAGCCGCAGTGGGGTCCCCGCCGGCGCTGCGAGGGCCTGTGAGCTCGAGCGAGGCGCGTCGGAGGAGCCGGGCAGTCCCCGGCCACCTCAAGTGGGGGGGACTTGCCTGGCCGCCGGGAGGATCGAGAGGACCCTGTGGGCACATCTGGGGGTGCCTGGACCCCGCCGGGTACGTTTCAGGGGCCGGGGCGCGTCCTCAGAGGCCGCCGCACACCGGCGGGGGAACCGCCGGGGCCCAGCGCCGCCTGGGTCGAGCCCCCGGGGCGTCCCTGGATGGCTGAGCTGCCCCCTTGCCGGCCGCCCGGGCGCCGCAGCGGCTGAGATCGCTGGGATCGCCGGGCCGCCGCCCTCGCCGCCCCCTGCATGCCCGGCGCCCGGGTCGCGGCCCACCTGGACGCGCTGGGCCCCCTGGTCCCCTACGTGCCACCGTCGCTGCTGCCCTCTATGTTCTACGTGGGCCTGTTTTTCGTCAATGTGCTGATCCTATACTACGCCTTCCTCATGGAGTACATTGTCCTCAACGTGGGCCTCGTCTTCCTGCCCGAGGACATGGACCAGGCGCTGGTGGACCTTGGCGTGCTCTCCGATCCCGGCTCCGGCCTCTACGATGCCGATTCGGAACTCGATGTCTTCGATGGTTACTTGGAGTAGGCTTGGCTACCGTCCTCCCCTGCCCCCAACGACCCGCACCCCTCGACCTGGACCAGCCCCCCAAATCATGCCGCCGCTACTGGTTGGGGGCATCGTCGGGCCAGGGATGGAATCCCCAGGACGAGGCTGTCTCCGGCCTCCAAGACCTGTAAGTTCCCTCTCTGCGCCAGATGAGTGTGGGTTAGGGGTGCTGGCGAAGAGGGTGGTATCTCCACACCAGACACGCACCCTTCCCCCAGGCTCCTGGAGGTCCATTCAGATGCCAGGAATGGCTAGACCCCTGTCAGGCCCTTAGCTGGGGCTGGAAAGCTTTCCCTGATGAAGGTGACAGTTGTTGCAGAGGGGAAGAGAGGCAGAGCCTAAGGGGTGTTCGGGTTAGCCATGGTACCTATTGCCACAGCTTGTAGAAAAGCCTTTGCACCCAGATCCCTTTGAGGCAGAGCTCTCAGCTCCTCCCTTCTGCCTCAGTCTGGCTTGGTGGTGACCTTGGCTTGCTGGGGATTCCCATAGTCCTGGAAGGATAAAGACTTGGAGTGTCAGAAGAGGTAGCAAGCCAGGCAGTGACCACCTTTGTCCTGTGGCCCCTGAGGGACGGGGTGGAGACTCAAGAGTAAGGGCCCCAGCTGAAGCTTCGAGAGGAGAAACCTCCTTCTGCAAAGTCTGCACTTCCTTTTGGCCTTGGGTTTGCTGCTGCTTGGGAGTCGGGTTTCAGGGTGCCCCAGCTCGGGAGGTCTGCAGCTTGCATCTGCAAGGACTGCCAGTTTTGCAGGTTCCTTTCGCAGACCAGGCAGGCGGGGGCTGGCTTTGCCTGCAGTGTTTGCAAGGCCTCAAGGAGCCCTTGGGCCAGCAGGAATAGGAACCACAGGATCTTTGCACTGAGGTGTTCTAGGCTGCAACCAGGCGGCTGTGTGTCCTGCCCCACCCTGTGTGTTGCCGAGAGGGAAACGAAGGTCCGGGAAGGAGAGGGACTTGGCCAAAGTCTCAGGGCTGGGAAGAGAGACAGCGGAACAAGATGAGAGAAAGAGAGAGGGACAGGCTGTTGGGTCTGGTGAGGTTCATGGGACTTGCGAGCACTCTTTGAGCCCCTCCACTGGACAGTGTGCAGTGTCACTAGGCACAGGGCCTGAGTGGGAGGATACTGAGATGGCAAGGGCTCCTTCTAGAAGACGGACACTAATGCCACTTCCCCAAGCAAGCTGAGTTAACTCCCCTCCTCTGTGGCCTGCCCTTGCCAAGATGACCATAGTCAGAGGGAATGCAGGGTGGGGCAGGACCTGCTAGAGGTAGGCTGAGGGCTGGGGGCTCCCCCTGAGAGGTGGACAGTGAGATTTCTTTGATAAAAGCTTCATTTGAGCTCACTGAGACCTTAGCCAGAACCAAGTGCCAGGTGGAGAGTGGGTCAGCTGCCCTGCATACCTACCCAGTCTCCTTGCCTGCCTGCCATCCATCCATCCATAAATCCATTCTTTGATTGAACACATATTTATGGAGTACATATTGTGCCCAGTGGGTGAACACAGTGAACAAGAGAGACTGAGGTGTGACCTCCTGGCACTTGGTGAGAAAGGACAAGCAGATTCCCAAAGAAGGTGATGAGATCTTTTTGTGAGCCACGAGGACATGGGCAGTGCCTGGCATCTAGTAGACACTCAATAAATGTCTGTTGAGTGAGCGAAGCAGAAGAATAGAGATGGGCTGCTTTAGAAAGGGGGGGGCAGAGAAGGTCCCTTGAGAGGACACAGTTCGCTGAGCCCTAAATTGGTTGCAGGAGCCAGCCTGAAGATCTAAGATCTGGGAAAAACCAATCGAGGCAGAGGGAATCTGGAGCCAAAGCTGTGAGGTGGGAGAGTTAGTTCTTGCAGCAACTAAGAGGAGGCCAGTGTGGCTAAGAGCAGCCCAGGAAGCGGTCTGTGGGACGGGTGGGGGCAGACCATAAAGGACATAGGAGGCCATGGCCATGAGCCGTGGGAAGCAGGAGGTGACACAATTTCAATTCACAATTTGTAAAGCCGACTTTGGCAATTGTGGGCAGAATCGGCTCTCGGGACAAGTATGGAAGCGGAGAAGCCAGTTAGGAGCTGTTCAGTTGCTCAGGCCGGGGGCCTGGATATGGCAAGGTTGCTAAAGATGGAGAAACACAGGCTGAGAACACCTTTTGAAGGCAGGACCTGCGGAATCCATTCAAAACCTGGACTGAGTATTGATCATCGCCCATGCCCGGTTCTAGGCCCTTTGTGTATTACTCAGTCAGCTGCTCAGCAAACTTTACCTCTGCCTGCTGTTCTACCAGGCCCTGTGCTAGGCCTTGCAGATCCCAAAATGAATCCCTGCCTCCAAGCCAAGCGTTTGACTTTCAGACAGTGTAAGTCGGTGTCTTATTTTATCTCTTCACCACATCAACAGAAACACTTCCCCTTCCAAATGAAAACATTGGCAGACTCTGAACCAAAAACTGAAGCCCAAATGCTCCGACAAACTTTGCAGCAGAGGCTGTTTGCGCAGAAACGCCAGGAAGTATGTCTCAGGGACACCCTTCCTTGCAAAGCTGGGACACCCTTGCAAAGCTGTCGGAGGGTCTGGCCCCGAGCTGGGAGGTAGGGAGGCCACGGGCTGGGGACAGTACGCAAGCCTGAAGAAGTGCGGAAGCCACGCACAGCATTCCTTCTCCCCCAATCCCAAAGCCAGGCCAGGGTGGTCTTGGCCCCAGAACCAGGGAAGCCCAGGCTGGGGGAGGGGAAGGGTAGCCAGCAGCAGGCAAAGCCTTTGGGAGAGCTCCAAAAAGGGTCTGGCTGTACCTCAGCTCCGGGCCCCTTTCTGGAAGTGAAGGAACCTCAGTAGTCAGATCTCATTATTTCTGGCTTGTTCTCATGTGGACATATTCTCATGTTACACACCAGAAGGTCATGGAGGCACTGGCTAAGGGTATGGGGCATGCTAGGTAGTGGGGACTGGGGTGGATCTCAAGGTGTACTCACTTGCCCCTCTCTCTCTTTTTTCCCTTGGTGTGTGCCCGCACGGTACCGTCCACCCAACGTTTGTTGAGCACTTCCCGAAGGAGGCAATATTAGGGTTGGGGTCATAAGCAAGAACCTGGTTCAAATCCCAGTCCCAGCTCTGACCTTGGGCCTGTTCCGTATCTCCCTCTGTCACTGTTCTCTTCCAAAAAATGGGGATAATGACATGTTCCTCACTGAGAGGATTGAGTGAGATACACATAGAGCTCGCAGACCTTCCCGTGTACAGTAAGCGATATAGTAATATACCACTGCTAGCATTAACAGTCAGATATAATGGAAAGTGTGTACACTCGGGCTCTTGCAAGTATATAAAACTGCACGTGCACTCACGAGTGAACACTTAGATCCCCAAATGAGCCAAAGAGGACTGCCTGCCTGAGTGCTGGGCGGGTTCAGGTGTGGGCCGCTGGGACAGACTACCCGCTCTGCCCTCTTGGCCCAGGACCCCCGGGGCACCTTTCCCACTGCCTGTGGTCTCCCAAAGTCCACCAGCTCTGGAGCCCTGTCCGCCCTGCAGTTCTCCTAGAGTTTTAATCATTGCCTGGGGGCAGGAAGTGGGGAATCAGGAGCTCCCTGCTTCCTAGGAGGGAAGGCCACTTCCCAGGAGGGCCACTGCGGCTGGCCTGGCAGCCAGGGAGCGTCCTCACATCCCAGCACTTCCGATGCGGAGGCGGAGCAGCTGGATTGATCTGTCCCTGCTCCTGGCACAGAGTGAGGGAGGGCTGTGGAGAGAGCCTGAGTGCACCGGAAACGGAGAGCCTGCAGAACGTTGCCGCCTGCGTCAGCGGTGCCTGGTGTAGCTCCGATACCGAGCTAGGGTAACCGGACCCGTCAGTCTGCTTACTACAGGGTCTCCCAGCTTCCGGGTCCTGACTCAGAGCCACAGCTGCTGCTTCTGATCCAGCTGCCCTGGTCCCTCCGTACCATTCTGCCAGCAGCAGAATACCCCGGCTGGCGTGTCACTGCCCCGCTCAGAAACCCAGACCTTCTGCGGGGACATGGGCCATGGATTGAAGTCTTGGGAGAGCCCACGGGCAGCTGGTAGAGCTCCTGTGGGGAGTGAGGGGAAGAAGAGCGGTCAGGGCAGATGGGGGAAGTCAGGTGGTCTCCCGTAGCGGGGGTCCAGACAAGAGACAGGTGATGGTGGCAAGGGGAGGCAGGTGCACCCCAGGCCTGGCTGACTTTCTAGCTCTGTCCTAACGCAAGGCTCACCTGGAAGCCTGCTGGGCACAGGGCGCATGGGTGCTGGCTGCCCCTGTGGATCGGAGAAGGCCCCATTAGGGATCTCAAGGGATGTCAGCGGTTCAGCTCCCTTGGCCCTGAGGTATGCAAACCGGAGGTTTCATCCAAGAAGCACCCTCACAGTCCTGTGTCAAAAAAAAAATGAAGGCCTCCTTTCAACTTGGCCATTCCCATTCCTGATTTATCTGCTGTCTTTACCCCGGAACTTCTGAAAGCTTATCCTGTTTGTGGGAAATCAAGATCACAGTTAAAGGGACAGGCACCATTATCCGCATCACACAAATAAAGAAGCTGAGGCCCAGAAAGGACAAGTGAGGGGCCAGGGAAGCAAAGCTGACTGAGACAGCGGAGCCCCCCTACCCAACCCAGTGCTGGGCTTACCCCAGCCACAGGAGGCCTCCGGGAAGGCGCCCCAAATCCCATCTCAGAATACCGCTCATGGCTCTTCCAGGCCTGCTGCACAGAGCTCACTCCTTTTTGCTGAGTTTCTTAAATAAAACTATTTTGAAATAACTTCACAAGTATACAAACGTTGCAAGAAGAGTACAAAGAAGTCCCCCCACCCTTCACCCAGGGTCCCCAATTGTACGGATTGACATTTTTCCATATCTGCGCACGTAGGCAGTGTGTGCTCGTGCCGCGTATGTGCGTGTGTACGTACACACAGATGTATAGCTTGTTTTTCTGAACCATTTGAAAACGATTGCAGACATTGCATTCCTTTACTCCCAGATATTTCCCTGTATAGCTTCGTAGATGGAGAACATTCGTTCCCATAACCATAGCACAATGGTCAAGATCAGCAAATTTAACACTGATGCAAGCCAAAACCACCCTAATCCGTGACGTCTGCAGATCTCACCAGTTGTCCCAATGGCGACCTTTCACA